TCTGGCCTAAGTGCTCATCCAAAAAGGTAACATAAGCCAGGGCTAGAAACATCAAAGGGTCAGTCCACCCAAAACCGATATGCCATTTAATTTATTCTTCATGGTGCCTTAAGGTATCAATGCAAAAGGAGTATTGTATTGTTTCCCCCTGCCTCCCTACAATGGATTCCCTACTAATAGAGCAGCCAACCACCATGCACGCAATGCCTGTGTACGGTTCAACTAAAGCTGGACTGAGTGACTATTTAACCCGTCATCTCTGATGACTTGGGCCGCGTGTGCCCCTGTCGATTATTCCCACTGCTGTGTGAGGTAGGGTCGCCGACAGGGGCCACACACACGCCGCTCGAATCTCAGCCGCGTCAGCAGAACAGGGAGGCGGACGTGCAATAGACGCCAAGTAAATCCTATTAAAGCTCCATAAGAAGGCTGTTGCAGAATACGGGCAAAGTACAAGCTTAGCCAACATGACTACTACACCGCGCACGCCAATTCACACTGTTTGCACGGATTTAAAGAATGTACTTCAAGACGTGTCCTCCTCCTCCACAAAGGCAAACTTTGGTCAGGATAGCTAATTATCAGGTCACACCAAACAAACCTCAGACGGGAGATTACGCAACCAATGTTTGTAGAAGACGGCGATATGGAATAATGCTTTTCTATAGGTGCAGGAAAAGGGTACGACCTCCCCGAAATCTCAATACCAAGCACACCCATATGCAAGTCAAAGATAAGCAAGTCTGGTTCAGTTCAAACAACATACCCGCCTTTCCACCAGCCAATGCGTGTGCCTACATTGGCCATAAGGACCGCCGTGCCACCCCATTGGCCATATTAGACAATGGGGTGGCACACATGAGAGCCTTGGCTCCAAAGTGAAAAAAAAGCCAACCAAGTAAAGCTGGCCGCATCTCGAATTTCTGCTGCATCGCCCGAAATATGAGCCATGGGGGGCCCTTGCCCACTACCGGCTTCCTGATAACAATGGGGAACTATGGTTGTGTAACGGGTGTCAGGAGAGCCACTTATAGTCTCCAGCATGGTCACATGTGACAGCGCAGGAGAGAAATTGGGAGAGAGTTGTCACCCTGGTGTCTGAAAAAGAATCTTCATGGCAGGATCACCAGAATTTTAAAGAACAATGAACAAACAAAACAAAAAAAGTACCCTTGCAATGGGGATACCCCCGGCACTGCAAGGGTTAAGTGCTTGTTTTTTGTTTTGTAGTCAGTTCAAATAAAAGCAGATCTACTTTCCTGATCCTCGGTCATGCCGGCTCCCTCTGGGCTTCAAGCTGACCTCATCACGTATAATGAAGGTCTATTGACTTGCATTAGACGTGAGGATGCGGCAGCGGGACGGG